TGTCTCTAACTGATCATCCGCGGCTAGCTGCTGTTGCCGCAGCCTGACGAGCTCCTGCTTGAGTACATTCTTGTCTCTTTTTAGCCCCTCGATGTCTTCCTCCAACCCAAACTTGCCTACCTCGACACATGCCGCAACAGAAGAATTCTGTGGTGGAGTCTGCTCTGGTTGGCTACGGGCATGAGACTGACACGGTTTCCGCCTGTTTATAGTCTTCAAGAGTTGCTTTTGACCTCTTAGAAATCCCTCATTTGCGAACTCCCAGCGATCAGGATCAACTTTCTTGAAACCCTGCAAATAAATCCCTCTTCAGCCAAGCACTTGTTTGACATCTTTCACCTCAACAAGCACACATGTTCTTCAACCAAGTTAGGCTTAATAAAGTCATATACGAGTGAAGAATCTCAATCTTGAAGGTAAAGATTCCATACAAAGAAGCTCCGGTTTAATACTTCAAACAGAGTCAATTCATGGCTAAAGCTAAAGCTATTATGAAAACTGTCTCTTGATACCAATCATGGGACTTGACTTAATTGTTTATTTAGAAGAAAAGAAGTAAAAGGAAATGACCCTCCTATCATGGAATTCTCCAAGAGAATTGGCCTTCCAAGAGTTAGCATCACAGATTAGTTCATCAAACTATTCGTAGCCTTGTTGCATAAAAGACAAAGCAATTATCCATCTCTCACATCAATTTCTGCTAAATCCTCTTCTTTGTTTCTTTCTTCTAGTTTTCATTCTGAGTTCTACAACTCTTGTAGGTTGTAGTTCTAAATTTAGAACTGTTGTTTTGGACCAATTTTGACTTTCATGAAACAATCACTTAATCAAACAAAATGTAGTAGAATTTTAGTGAGAAAACTCCGTAACAATTCCTATGCATCAAAAGTTCAAACTCTGTATAGAACTAGAACCATTACCTAGCTCATCATCGACATTCTCGATCATTTTCATGACTTCAAAGTGACAGAGGTCACAGGATAACGTCGATGCCGGACGGGTTTGAAGATTAATCTACTATGCTTTTCCTAATTTAGAGGACAATGTCTTGCCATCAACCTCTAATGGCACCAATGTTTGGGATTCTTTTGTCCTACCATGTCCCTAGGTATTTATCCATCGACCCTCACCGATTGAAACGAGGAACTGCAACTACCGAAAAATTGGATTGGAAATGACAGAATAACGTGAATCAAACATATATTAATCAAAGTAAACAGAGGACGGAAGGGCGTTACGTAGGTATTAAGCTGCCGCACGAAGCTAGAGAAATTGCTGTGCTTGAAGTACTTGGGCAGGAGATGCCGAGCGAAGTCCGGCGTGTTCCACACCACGAAGCTGTTATTCCCGGCTCCCCACGAAACGATCGCGTCGGTCGCCAGATCATCCACCATGTCGTACGTCTTGCTGAGGAACGGCGGCGGCGCACTCCCGTTCATCCCGGGGATCGCACCCGCCGTCGCCGCCACCGCTTCTCCATCTCCCCCGCATTTCTCCATCGCTCCTCCGCCCTCCTCGATGCGATCTAGCGGGCGGAAACAGATTTCGGAGATGAGATCGGAGTTCAGGGCTCATCATCCGATCGCACGAGAAGGTAAAGCCATCGTAGGGCTCCGTCCTCCTCTCTTGTTCCTTGTCGAACTGCCCCGGCGCTGTCTTTGAGCAACAAAGATATCTCAATGAATGGTGAGATAGCATCGGATGGTGATCGTACCGCTCACATTCAAAATGACGGATGGACCCACATGCTTAAAGGCGCGGTCCATGTCACTGGACGGTTCCGGTGCACGAATTGGATGACACCAATCGAAAGTTTAATTGGAGAGGATCCGCGTACGTCATCGTAAAAGATGATTCCTTAATTAGCCCGCGACGACACCGACGTCTTTCCTTCGCAATGAATCAAAATACTATTATGCCCCCACACATTGTAAAAATTACCTCGATCACCAACGGTATGACACTATAATAAGTAAAAGGGCCCCACGTGTGCGGTTACGCGGGAGTCTGCTGTCGTGGAACGAACGAGCAGTTTTGGTATTTCCCACCCGCCGTCGCTTCCCCGCCTAAACGGGAAGAGATGGGATTGGAGTACATCGTGGGCCCTACGCTGTGGCCCGGGTGGAGATGCTAGTTGACCTCCCGAATTATCTCACGTAGCAACGCTGGCCGTTGGATTAAGACCGGCAGTGCTGCACGTGAGAGCCGAGTGATTCTTTTTGCTTCAATGTATTGATTCGAATCAATTACTCTGTAATGTTGGCCGAGCAAAGGTCGTGTCAATTGTATCGTCAAATTTCGACATGACTTATTGCATTACCATCGCGGATCATGAAACGGGAAATAATCATAAATGATGTGTCATCTTACCACAATACTCTTAAAAGTAAAAGAATTTGATTTGACGTGGTCTACAAAATGAAAGAAGTCCCTTATGTACATAAAGGCACTACTGCTCCATTCTAAAGCTGCAAGAGAGCCCAGAAGACTAATCATGAACATTAATCTAGATTGCTTGGATACTTGGCTGTTTGAACATTGATAATCTGTGGGCAAACAAATGATGAGAGAGCAAAAGAGAAATAAGATTAGAACAAAATATGTTTTTGGGAGGCTTCTGGTACGGATCCTCGAGAATGTTTGGGATACTCTGAAAGATAAAACCTACGCAACACCGAGAAAAGGATAAGGAAAACTAAGCACAAAGGCATGGAATCGAAGTGGGACAATGGACATTGACATAACTTAAACAGTTGCTCACCATGTAATCAACACGCCTTCCTTTTGTCCACCTTCAAGTGAATCTTAAACCATTTCTTCCGCCTTGTCCGGTCCCTAGACTTCTTTTCATCCTTTGGCTTCTTTTCTATCGTTGGGCACTCTTCGTCACTTTTGGACCCATTGAAGGGACTGCTGATCTTGCTGCTACTTGAGTTTCTTTTTAAAGGTGAAATGGTGTAGGAGGCATGAATAGTGTTCCTTTCCTTGAGCAGCTCATCGATCTGTAGCAGAAAATAATTAACATATTTAGATCATAATATAAGAAGTTAAGAAATGGCGCTTTGCTCAGCAGTGTCAAATGGTGAACTCACTGCTTGCATTTCCTGTGCATACTTGTTGGTCATCTCTGTGAATCGGGCCAACACCTGTCAATCTCAGCATAGAGAAGCAGACTCGGATGAGCAAATGTCACCAAAAGTAAGTCACTATAGTAGCACCATCCAGGAGATGCATACAAACCTCTCTATATTCTGTCTCAAACTTAGACAACTCAGCCCTTTTGGTTAATATCTTTGCCTCCACATCCCGCAGTTTCTCCTTTTCCGCTGAAAACTGTTCGGCACACATAACTTCTATTGTGTAGTTTACACTTTTGAAGAAGTTGTCACCTTAAAAATTTTATTCAACAAGACTATGTAAGATATAAGCTGCAAAGCTCTATGTTAAGAAGTCAGTCAAATATATTGTGTAAATATACAACTTACCGTAGACAGCAAATACATGGGTGCCTGCTTTCAGTTCATTTACTTCACATGCTTGAAACCCATCCAATTTCTTGAAGAATTTAGCATCAGGATCTTTAGCAATCGCTATCTGGAGGTAAGAAACATGGGTAACCAAATAAAAGTGCATCATTCAGTAACAATCACCTTGTTTGGTTACAGAGTCACTTGCACAGAATTTAAACCAGTTAACCTCACCGAATGGCTTTGATCAAACCGATACACAGGAAAGCAAAGAAAGAACATTCCAGCAGAAGTAACCCTTCCGGTTTTAGTGCTGTCTTCCTGCACCAGTCTGGTTGTCAGATGAATATATCACAAGCTAAATGTGATCACCTAAAATATAAACCACACAATTAAGGAAACGATAACAAGATGGCAAGAATACGAGGAGAATTACAGAGGGAGGAAATAGTTGCAACACAATTTTTTCAATTTTAAACAATTATTAGCTGATCCACAATATATACTATCTGCAAGAGGAAATGTTGGAACTTCTGAGAACCTCACAATTTGCATACCTCAAGCTCTAAAATGTTGAGATCAGGATCAACCAATACAGATTAGGTATTTGGGATTGGTTTAAAATCAAACCAATAGTCAAAAGATTAATATAGTTTTCATATCGGTTACATTAATCAAAACTCTGAAACTCCATATTAGAGATAATGCAGCAGTTGATTTCAGTACAAAGCAAATATTGTTAATTTAACCTGATAGACACTGATCCATATTAGGATTTATTTCTCTCATCCTGGCTGCATCCAACATAATAATTGGTAACTATCACTTGCTAAGGTCAAGTTAAATACATGACTCTCCCCAAGCCCGCATAGGTAGGAACCTCATGCAACATGCTGTCCTTTGTAAATCATGGAGCTACACATAAACAAGTAGGAAGTAAGATATTGTTCTTTCGTACACCAGATATCACACAAGGGCATCTGCTTTCTCTGTTAAAGCAACAGATTTTGATAATAAAAAGCATAAACAACAAAAGTTTGAGCTAAAAAATATGTACCGGTGATTGGAGGAGACACAACTGAAACATATT